TCGCCCTTGCAGGCCCTATTGGCCCTATTCACAGTGTGGAACCTTTGATCCCACCGTGCATGGCACTTCCTGGTTCTTGTGCTATACCCTGTTTGGGCAAGCGGGTCTTAGGGGCAGACGATACCCGAACGTAACCCCGACGAGTGTTCCCCTTTAACTGCCCACTAGCGTGCTATAAGTTGCCCTCCACGGATGGAAGGTAGATTAGGATGCCATCGAACTATCTCCAGGCACAGATTCATCCATTTATCCGCGAGCTCATAACCCGGATACTGGTTTCAGCAATATCAGGGTGGGCTTGACAGACTCTTGACTTCTCCATTAGGATTGTCAAAGGCCGGTTTGCAAGGAATTGGTGATGGACCCCGGATATTCTGTCACTGTCGCTGACGGCTGTACCCATATGTTACAGCGGGAAAGGAAATATGGAAGGTGCAATAACAAAGATAATAATCGAAGAAACCGCGTGCATGAGGCGCCGCATTTCATTACCGAAACTCTGCTTGATAATTGCACACGCTTGTGATCTCCCAGAACATATGAAGTAGTGTGGACCGCCGAATCCGGCTGCTAGTCATAGTGGTTGAATGGGGGATTTAATCGGGGCGGAAAGTCCATTTCCCTTGTTGATAGCGTACTCCTAGTACAAGTAGGGGTCAAAAAGAGGAAGGAGCTCGAAACGTCATAATAAGGCCGAGCACTACGTGTGGCAGTGAGGGGAGCAATTTCCTTGGCCCCCATCCGTGGGACTTGTCAACTTGTAGTCTCCCTCTCCCTGTCATCCTGTCTTGGAAAGGCCTCAACTGTACCGAGGTACTTCGTACCCCAGCATACCTTTGTCTGTACTTCGTACGGCAGGACCTGCGGCTTTACAACAAGGCTCGATGGAGTGTATATACGCTACTGGAAGGAGCCCCTTTCCCCCATTGGTGCGATCGAGGGTCCAGAGTTGTTCCACTCATGGTCCCAACTTCCTGCACTCACTGGAAGAGGGTTCTCGGCGACCGAGCCGAGTCATGTATCTCCATCGTCTACACTAGTGTACTGGAGACCTAGTCGCTTTGTGAATGGAAAGCGCGAGGGCGGAGGATCGAAAATGGCAGCGGGCAAGTGTTTCTTGACCTTGGGTCCGTAAGTGGTGGTTGCGGACTGTTAGTCCTCTGCTTGCCCTGCAGTGCCGGCAGTACGCTATTTACGACACTACGTTAGTCCTGTGCTCTTCGCTCTGCCCTGAAATGCGGTCGAACCTGCTTTCCCTGTCTCTGCCGCTGCACAGAAGGAGAAGGCGCACCTGCAACTTCCCCTTTGGGGTGGAATAGGGTCCGTACGAAGCATGAGGTACTTTGTATGGGGGAGAGACTTGACTCTTCCCACTCCTCCCCTTCTAAGAATGTATATGTACCGAGATACAAAGGTACATGGCCACAAGCAGCGTACAATTGGCACGGGCAACATCGCGACTTGACAAAGACCATGCCCCAAGATCTTGCTCCAGGACAAAGTGAATGGGTGCTATTATCTTACCTTACCAAAAGCGTCAAACATCCGGTATCCGGGGAACAATAAACGCACGGCGTCTGCGTGTTCCAAAAGTGCACCGCGTTCGTTTCCCCTGCGTTTACGAGAGCTATCACGAACTCACTTACTTCCTGTGGTTCCGAGCCGACTGCGCTGCAGAAAAATACCGTGCCGAAGCTATGGTCAATACATGGCACGTCGACCTTTGTTCGCCTGCGACACGGCACAGGCGCCGTCGTGGTTGAGCGATCCGATCCTTGATAATCTTCAGGTCTCCTTGCGAGGCGGAAGTCCGCGAGAGAGAACCCACCGGATCCAAAGGAAGACAGACCACAACGAAATGGGAGGCTGCAGTATCCTTATGCTGCATGGCTCTCGTTTAAGACCAAATCATAGCCGCGTTGTGGTCTTTTCCCAAATTCCTCCCCGGTAAGTGTGGATCTTCGCTGTCTCCAGGAGGGAGCTAACGTGCAGTAGTTCCTCGGCGAAGTTTCGCAGTGGTAGCGTAGTGTCCTGGAATATCCTTGGTACACTTGTACCTTCGAGATTGTTATTGTTATCCTTGACCTAATCTACTTCGTACCTTCTCTTCGTAAGGATGACCAGGCCCACGCGACGGACACGCTTGTGCCATGGGTTTACTCCTAGTTAGAGCTTAAAACATCTCATTTGCCTTTGATATATCCTATTCGCGGGTTCTCAACCTCCAACTTTTCGCCGCACCCAACATTTCGGCGGTGGGTGCCCGGTCGGTCCAGGAAGGTAGGTGTGAATTCCACACGCTTCAAAAGCTCATCAACGGCGTGCTTTGCAGCGGTGAAATTACAGCGGGTAATTCTGAACTTAGCACGGAAAAGAGGTTAAAAAAACAAGGGAGATTAATAGCGCCCTGTCGGCTACCCGGTATGGTGCCATCCAGAGAAGCACTGTATGTACACCACGTACAAACTTCTTGCGAAGTACGCGACCTCGACTTTCTCGATTTCTTGAGAAACACCTGACTTGCTCTTCCGAAGGAGTAAGGATATCGACTTTGGCAGGAGGTGCAGAATTATTTTACTGTGCTCGTCCGCCTCGCTCAAGCCCCGTTATTCCTCGGTCAGGATCTCCACTGTAATACCGGGAGAAGATGAGACGAATAAACTACCACACCCACCACGAAGAGTTCTCCAACTCTGGCTGATCTACTTCGTACCAGAGCGACATCCGTTACGAGTGCCCGGCAAGAGTGTTAGCAGTCGTGGACACCTTATCAAGCACCATCATCTCCACGCGTTGTTCTCCGACATTGGAGTACACACGCACCTTACTTTCGGTCGATTACCCGTCACCGCCCATGGACCACCTCCCATTCAGACGATTCTCAGTGCGATCCCAGTCGTCTTAAGCTATAACAACCTGTATTATAGGGTCCCCCCTTTCACTGCACGATGTCTGTTTCCCCCCAAGCGACCTTCTTACCCACTCTGACCCTGGTCATCCGCAATCTCATGAACCGACTTTGCTCGCACACCCCCTCAGTACTCCACACCCCTGTCAACCGACCTTTCCTTTCTGGGCTCGCATCGGCGCAACTGCCCAACGGTTTCTAGAAAATTGCGGGCCAAGAACCTTCCTGAGCCGTCGGAGGATTCTTCTGTCTGCTACGACACTACACTAATCAACAGCGTCACTTTGCTGTCCAAGGAGGAAGGACATGGGTCTCTGTGTCTGTGGGCGGGGCTCGGTGGCTTTCCCGTTGTCGAGACCTCCGCCCCTGCCTCCTCCCCTTTCTCCTCCACCTAAATCCCTGCTGGTACGAAGTCGTGGACGAAGTATACTCATCGTCGTCCGTCCTGCTTGTCGCACGTTCTGGTTCCTGCCCTGGCTTCGGAGGAGTTACTTCACACGGACACGACAAGCCCCCTGCTCAGACCTCGAAGTCTCCTCATCTTCTATCCCTGTGCCTGGGGAGGAGACACTGGTTCACGATAAGGTAGATAGGTACCTTCGACTCTGGAGATTCACCCGCAGAAAGAGGTGCTATCCCTGTTGTATTCCCCTTGGTCCTGGCTCTTGAATCTCCGTTGTCATTTCTCTCCATCAGGCGTCTTCCTTGAGCAAGGTCCCACCGATTCCACAAACCCCCCAAAGGACTGTTTGTACGAAGTACGGGCACTCCCCCAGATACTTCTCCTCTCGGCAGACAAGTGCTTAGCGAGGCCCCCAATTCTTGACTTGGGACCCACTAAACGTAGAAAAGCCTTCCCCCGAGGGGACCAAGCAGTCTTTCCCTCGTTTTTCGAGTCGTCTTCAATAAAGTCGCGTCGGGAGTCAAGATGCAAACAAGGTCCACAGCATCCCGACCTTATTATACGTAGACCTTGTTATCATAGAAACCTTGATAAGTCTTCATCTGGATCTTTTCATCACCTTTAGTTCTTATTTTTGTTATTTTCCTTCTCTCAAATTGTCCCATTTCCCGGACCTCATTTCCAAATAAGCGCATGATTGAGAACAAGCCGGGTCACCCACGCACGCAGTCGGTCGAGGCCATCCAAATCCAAGTTTACTATCTTTAAAAGGATCCATCCGGCGGTCGGATTGTATTCCATCATCCTCCCAGCCGAACCATCACTTTCGAGCCGTTCGTTCTCTCTCTACTCCATCCTTTCTCTTTCTCATCTCCCTCTCTGCCTCTGTCTCTCAAACCTCACCCCCAATGCGTGTCTGAGCTGGTATCCCAACGCGTTGCGATCCTTGGTTGTACTGAGCTTCGTGCATAAAACCTGCACGCCTTGTCGAGATCATTGAAAAAAAAAGTCACTCGAGTCCCACACGGCCAAAAAATCTCGCGCTCCCGGCCTGGCTCTTGACTCTCGACACCCCAGCACTGGTCAACCCTTCTGGGGAGAAACATCCCAGGCTCTGTCAAGGTCTCCACCATCAGGAGACACTTGTCGACTTGTTCATCACTCCCACCCCTAGTGTACTTGTACTGCCACTGTACGACCATCCCTTTCCGACATAGTGTAGTCCACTCCACGAGGGTTCACTCCCCCCCAACCCACTCCCCACACCCCCTCACCCGCTGCCTTCGACTCTAACTCCCATCTACCGTTGGGTGTCTTTGGAGTATACAAGTACACATTGCCCTGCAACCTTCAACTAAGAGACTCGTTCATCAGACTCTCGATTTTATCTTTCGATCCAGCCAAAGGGTATCCCAACGAAGGCGAGAACCAAAGCCGACTACTTTTCCCCTTCAACGAGACAGCTTTTTTTTTTGTCCCCGTCCAGGCTAAGGCGATAGCTACAGAGGTCCGCTTCATCAATCTAACCACTTGGATTCGTAATCTCGGACGGCCTTTCATTTAGAAAGAGGGGGGAACTTGCACTACCACCAACCTTAAGAAACAAAACAGAGCCTTCGAGGGAATGCTCTCATGACAACAACAACTACCACCGCCACCACCACCACAACAACCACTTTTCCGGCCGCGATGGCAGACTTGAAGGCTGAACCAGGGCCTTCCAGCCTCTGGCATAACTATGGCAGCCCGGTCCACATGGCGTCGGCCAGGTTCAATCCGCCGATGGAGTCCGCCCTCCCCAATCCCCCTTCGGCCAGCACGCCGCAGCATCCCGCGAGGCCGAGGAGTAGCCATCACTCTCTGGAGCAACCCCCTTACTCGTATAATCGATATCCCGGCCAGGAGGACTCGGAGGCGTACGAGCGGCACCAACCCCATCCGAACTTAACATCTCACCAGAGCTTCCCGAATTTGAAGAGGACCTACTCCCAAACCGAGCAGGCACCCTACCAGGATATGGTTCAGGAAATCCGTGACGACAACTCGAAATTGTCTGTCAACCATGATCACAAGCTCCTGTCGTTCAAGCGAACCCAGGATAAGACCACGATTGTAGACCAGCATGGGCGAATTCAGCAATTAGAGTTGTCGGCTCAACTCCACGGCATGTTTTTCCTTTCCGAGATGCCATCCAGCACCAGCGACGGGACCATCCTTCAACCCGAGCTCACCTGCTACCGCCGAAATCTTTTCCAGATTAGCGGTTCTCTAATCACTCCGCGTGGCCAGTTGTCTGTGGTTAGCGAATCTGGGGAGACGGTTCCCGTGAACAACGTCGAAGTGACCATCTCGGCGATCGAGTCGGTGGATGGAAATCCCGTTCGCTTGATCGTGATTCCCTGGAAGACCCCGCCCCCCAACTCGCCTGAAATCCCGCAGAGCCCCGACCAAGAACCCCAATCCTTACCGCTTATCCCGTTCCAGGATGATGGCACTGAGAGCGAGGGCGAGTATGCGGTCTACCCTATCGGGTGGAGAAGATTGCAGTTCAGAATGTAAGTGGAATATTCGCCCCCGACTTGACGATAGGAAGTTGTAGCTGACAACTTTTGGAACTAAAAAAAACAGAGCGACTGCAAACAATGGTAGGAGAAAGGAGCTGCAGCAACACTTTGTTCTGCATCTCAAGGTTATGGGAACCCTCTCCAACGGTACGAAAACCGTGCTGGCGGAATCGACGACTGCGCCGATTGTGGTACGGGGACGGAGCCCCCGAAACTTCCAGGCTCGTAAAGAGATTCCCCTTTTGGGGTCCAGTGCTGGGTCCCGTGGTCAAGCCTTGGTAGAAACCGGTTTGGGTATCGTAGCTGGCCCCTTAACCGTTAAGCCCGGCGAGGGAAAGCCGCGGGCTGTCGACATGCAGCCGCCTCGGTCTGCGTTTACGTTTTCCGCGCCTAAAATGCCGGGAAGCCAGATGGGAATGCGGTCAAAGTAAGTTTCTTGCTCCCCCCCTAAGTCCCTTGAGAAGGAAGTTGTCGACTCCGGGAGAGCAAGCTTTCTCTTCAACCCTGCTCTGTCAGCTCTTCTATTGCGAATCGTTATAGGGGAATGGTGAGAGTGGCTACTCCTAGAGAATAGCGCTCCCCGGTTCCCGTGTGATTCTCGACAGAGTTGGGCCGAAGGGCTCTTCCTTTTTCTCCCTTTCTTTGATTTCTTTTGCTGACTAGTTCGTCGTCAAGCTCTTATCCCTCGTGGAACCAACCGAGCCACATTCCTCAGATACCAGTGTCTGGACCGAGCACCTACTCATCAACGACGATCGGGTCCGAGCCTTATGCCAAGGTACCCTTGACCGGAGCGAACAACTTTACGGCAGAGCCTCAAGAAATGCCCCTTCAGACATCAATGCCCTCAGTACAGCTTTCTCTCGCAACCAACGACTCTCAGCAGCCTGCCATCCGTACCCAGTACGCCTACGCTCCCCCCACAACAGCGCCCCCTCCTCAACTCTCATCGATTCCGTCGCAAGGAGGAGAGAACTCCCTCAGTGTGCCACGTTATGTGGATAGCAACCCCCGCCCTTCCAAATCTCCACGACACGCCACGCATCAGAGCGTCCATAGCGCGAGCTCGATCTCGAACAACGAAAACACGGGTGAATATCGGTATGCGAACTCTTACCACGATGTCGCGCTTAACAGCAGCAACACCAACTCGTCTGGTGATATGACGAACTCGTACGGCCCGGAGTCCAACCCGCCACCGCCGAGGGACTACTACCCCCCATCGAATACGTGGACAAGCACGGCAGGAGGACCGAACTCGACCGTAGCGTACACGAACGGTGAAGCGAGGACGTACTCTTACCCCGAACCTTACAAGGGAGGAAGCGCAGCGGCACCTCCCGCTGCGCTGCCGCCACCACCGCCCCGCGTGAACACGACCCCCGCGGCCTCGAGTACGCCGGTATATGGCGGAAGCCTCAACCACTACTCTTGGAGCGCGAACTGATTGATGAAGTCCCTTTGGAGTTATGCCTTGACGCGGAAGAGGATACTTACGATATGCATTTTCGCCCGCCGCTTTTTTTTTCTTAATACCCTAGAGCCTCTTTCTTTATTTTCCTTTGTCGAGGGAAGCCAGTCTAGTCGTCGCTATTATTCCCTTCCAAACTCTGGTGGTTTTTTTTGTGTGACAATGTATGATTAGAAACGCCTGTTGAGACTCGGTTATGCGCGATTCTTGTTTGGAGAGGCTTCGGAATCTGAACTTCGACGGCGGTTATTTTTGAGATGCTTTTTTTCTTTTCCTCCCTCTTTGATCTTACCGACCGATTTCCTTTTGTCTTTCTTTTTTTCCGCAAAAAAAAAAAAAAAAACCAAGAGAAAACCTCCCGCATGCGTTCTGGATGAAGTTAGACTGGGTGGTTTCGTATTTTCCGGCCAGGCGGTGTGTGTGACACGGGATTTGGAGACGGAACTCAATGCTTTCCCCCCGAGAGATATCACTTTACGCGATAGAGCGAGGTATATAAAGATGGAAATTTGCTTCCATTAAATCGTTTGCATTCCATGTCCCTGTGTCCCCGTTGTCGTCATCGCCTTTTGTCGTGGCATTTTTATGCGGGGCCATGATCGATCTGTGTGTGAGACTAATGATTATCGTGGGAATGTCTGGATTAGCTTTTCCAGGGTTTGATATTCGAGAAGTATCTGGTTTAACAGGCGGGGGGGACTGGAGGATTCATTGGAGATGTTGGTTCCAGTTTGCGCAACTTGAGTGGGAAGATCTCGAACCTGGATAGGGCTGTCTGTGGTTTGCGGCTCTGCCTTTGCGAATCTTGTTTATATGGCCAGGGATTGTCGTTGGGGTGCCTTGGTTCGCCCGTTGTCCGATTGACTCGACCCAGTTCGTTGCATGTCAGGCGGCGATTTCCGAGCCGTCGATCCTCAGATCGGCCCCCCGGTTTGCATCCTCACTTTTGTCCTAAGCTCCGATCCGCAAGTCGCCCCGCAGGAACCGGTGTTCCTTCAAAAAGATTCCGCGTCCAAGTTTCAGATTGCATCCCGTATTTCGTGAACCGGCCATTATTGCGGGCTTTGTTCCCTTCGTCGTTGGTTTCGGATTCTAAGTTTCCCTCCGCTGATTTCTCTTTCCTCTCTTTCCCATTGTCCTTCTTTTCCTGTTCCCGCTTCCTTTCAGACTGACGAGTTGGTGAATTTGGGGTCCGTCCTTAAACCGAGTTTGGAAGTTGGGCCAACGATGACGGACGGGTTGGTAGGGCTCGATTTATTCGACATGAATGTGCCTCATACTTACGATGAGATCGTAAGCCTAGTTCACTCGATGTCGCTCGAGCACGCTCGTGTCTGAATGGATTAGGATGATGACGCCAAGCAGGGCGATTCTGAGATGATGCAAGCGTGGAGAAACCTTGCAGAGATGATGGGTTTGTATTCGGCGGAGGTAAAGTAGCGTCAAGCGGCGGTGCCTCTTCCGAAGAGGAGCGAGTTGAGTGTTTCGAGAGGTCGAAATGGCAGCGAGCTTGCTATTAGACGGAGATGGCGGTTGTCGCCCTTTGACCTCCACACCGTCTTGCACCGAAGCGACTTCTCCCATTCCCTATTCCCCATCTCCATCCCCCGACCCGTCCATCTCCATTCCATCGCCTTTTGTTGCACAGAGTGATCGTTTTTCCGGAATCTAGGGAACACTCGTTGAGTCGTTTTGAGAGTGGGAGAAGGCGAGTCGGCCACGCATATATAATCCGCCCATGATATAAGTCGATCAAGCAATGGCACTGTTGTTTCCTATTCATTGCCATGTGGTTGGGTTACACGAGTGCGGCGGGGACGTAAGAGCCAGGCGGGATCGCTCCAGGGTTTTCGATAAGAAAAAGAGTTTCGGCCAAACTTTGTTTAGAAACAAAAATAATACGGAGGGTTTCTGTTTGTTTTAATATATTTGCACGGGTAAGACTGGTTTTGTCTTCACCTTTCTGACCTTCCCAATTACCCGCGCCGGATGAGAAAAACGGGGCGGAAAGTGAAGAGGTCCAGCTTGTACGAGCCACTAATGTGTGAGCTAAGAGGCAATATTGGAACAGACCGAATCAGAAGCGGCTGTAAGAAGTACTTTTTTCCCCCCTCCCGCTTGCTCGTCTTTTTCCTCTGTTTCTTTTTGGACCTGCCAGGTCCGTGTGTGCGTGGCTTGCCTGATTTTCGGCGATATTCCTCTGGGTTCCCTTGTTTGGGCAGCGGTTGGACAGGGTGGATGGGGTTGGCTCCTACGACGTTGGTGGGCGCTCCGAGGAGGTAAAACATGGGCGATTTGGATTCGGTGTTTCTCTGTCGGTGATCGGGAAATGCGTGATCATTGATAACCTGGCTGTCTTGGAGGATGGGCCTAGAGCTGGTAACCCAAGCGGTGAGGACGGAAGCTGGCCCCCAGGAGAAAGAAAAGGGGGGAAACGTTGAAATCATGATAATACCCGATGCTCAGGTCTACGAAGTATATGCGGACGGGCATCCGCAAGCTACTCTTGAACTAATGTAGGTTGGTCGTTGCATGATCGTGGATGTGGAGACTCGGAGCTGGCGTTGGTGACTGTTTGGCCGGCGCCAAGGCTATCTGCCGACTTTGGACCAGGCCCTTCCCGGAAAGGATCTGAGGGATGGGACAAAGACCCCTGACGGGCTGAAAAGAGGACATGGTCGTGAGGGATGAGGGTATTAGTGAATAGCTTTCTTTGTTGACGAGGCTCTGCTATTGGACTGCTCTGCCTGCTCGGTCGGAGAAGTGGAAATAGCAAAGTAGGAATCAAGAGAGTCGTGTAAGAGCAAGACCCTCAATAAGCTCTACGGTTCTAAGAGCTCCCTCTCTACACAGGTACCGGAAGTTCATGTCCTAGACCTGGATGATCGAGCTTGGACTGAAGATGAACGAGGAGGGTAGTAGATGGATGGCTGGAAGGCAGTGATGATGCTGATCGTTGGAGTAGGACCGATCAGTGTCTACGAGTAATTAAGACCTTTTGTCTATTTGGAATTTACCGACTCGCGTCGGGTTTCTCGAACTTGCTCTGTCTGTTTCTCTTTTTTTTTTTTTTTTTCCCCTTTGTCCTTTTTGTCTTTCCTCTTCCCCTTCCCCCTTCCTCCTTGACGTAGGAGGGGTCTACGAAAATGTGACTGATGGGCTGGCGCCGCGATAGTGTCCAATAGTGTACCCAGGGCTTCGGAGCCGCCATCTTGGCTACAGGAGAGCTGAGGCTGAAATGGGACCGAGCGTATGGGGCATGGCTGATCGAGCTGCAACTTTGCCACTTGGCTGGTCCTGGTCCACGGTCAAGGTCGCATTTAACTCCCTTTTTGGACCTTCTTCTGACTTGGGATCAGCAGATCGAGTGGAGTTGCGAGTGAGTGATAATAGATTATGCAGCACCTTGTTGGAGTGCCGTGTACACACACACACACACAATGTTGCTCAGTATTGTTTTGGCCGGACAGGCTAGAGGGGAAGATAGGCCAGTAAAGTAAGTCTACGGACGGGCGATGCATCAATGCATTGATGTTCAAGATCTTTTCCAGTGAGCAGAATTGAGAATTGAGCTTCACCAACGAAGCGTGCAAACCCGGGACTCGGGAGCGCCGGGATAAATGCAATTTTGCATTACGAGCAGATGTGACGATTGCGGTTTTGCAGATCCCTCTTCTCTCCGAATTTGTGAAGGTACGACGTTGCCGGTGGTCGTATTGAATCGATTCAGCTTCTAAATAGTGCAATCGCTAGTTGGAAATAGGGTCGTACCGCCTGGAGCTTCTGCTCCATTAGTGCGTTTGCCTGTGTTCGTCAGTGTTGCGTTGCAGAGGGGCCGGACTTGGGGCTGGGCTCGGCGCGCAGCCTAGCATCGTGGTAGGGATGGGAGGGGATGGGGCCGAGATGAGCTTTCGCTGGCACGTGGTTTTGGCGCCATTTAACATTTAATGAGTGGTCTCGCTGTGGTTCTGGCCTGTCAAGCAATCCGGGCCGGATCGTTGATGCTTTGCTCCCTGTTTCGTTGTGTCGCACTTGTACTAGGTGTTCATGTAGGTGTTGTGATCTGCGATCTGCACTGGGATCAATTGGTCAATCATCTGGGGGATTGAGACGGTTTGGACTTTGCAAGATTGGCCAATGTTACTAACGGCCCTATTTCGTATCAAATCCATACATAGACAATGGATCAATTGATGATTTGATTTATGAAGCATGGGGGGGAAAGCATGAGGACGAGCACAAGGGACCTCAGCCAGTGCTGACCGATCCGGGCGGGTTTTGGTGGCAGAAATATTGCGCAGTTTGACACTGGAAAAGACATCGATGAGTTTGAGCTCAGGACTTGATTACCTAATTTCCCGAACCTTGATCCAACGTCTTGAATTTGCCGACTTCATGAAATCTCATGCATCATATCTGTATCTTCCTCTCTGTCCAGGTCTCACCGAACCCCACAATCGGCGTTAAGCAGTGAATCTTATCCTGCAATTCCAATCAAAGGCCAAATCCGCCTCACTCCGACACAAAAGTCACACAAAAGTCCCAACGACGTAGCGGCAAGCCATGTTTGAGGTCCCAGATGCAAAGAGGGTGAGGAGGAATGAGCTCGATGACCGCTCATCCATCGACTCGGCGGAAGTCGACGAAGAAGCCCGCGCTCACCTTCGCGAGGTCCTCAATTCAAAACTAGCGAGCAGCCTCTCATGGGACATTACGCCAATCCAGCAACCAGCAGTCGTGCCTCCTCCGCCGGCAAAAATTGAGCACCCAGCCGAGGACGTCCAGGATGAGCACCCGACAGAAACAGAGGATGAGGAAGAACCGCCTGAGGAATTCGAATTCAGACTCTTCGGCACAAGTCAACCAGCCGCCAAGATCCTCTTGGAAAAGGACAGACCGTTCAAGCCCGGCGAAGGAGGTATCATCGCGAGGCGGCCTATTTCTTACTACTTCGCTCGGCCGGCCACGGCGGCGGAGCGGGCGCGGTACGAGGCCTCGGTGATGACGTTTGAGCAGATTATCGAGCGGAGCCGACGGAGGTTTTGGGGGCTTGAGAGGCCGTGGAAAACGGTTGCTACGATTACGGTGAGGTCGAAACGGAAAGGGGGGTTGAAAGATGAATTACCAGGTTCGGTGGTTTGTGAAGGACCAGAGGAAGGGAAGAAGAGGAGGAGGAAGAGGCCGGGTAAGAAGATGCGGATCAAGCAAAGGATGAGGGAGAAGGCGAGGAAGGAGAAGCAGGAGGCGGAGGAGAAGGCGAGATTAGAGAAGGATGAGCACTTGAAGGCCAAGAAGAAGAGGCTTAATTCGATCAAGAAGGTTAGGGCAAGGGCCAAGGCCAAGGCGAAGAAGCAGGCTGCGAGGGAGGCTGCTGGTGAGACTTTAGTGGTGGACGATGGCAGCGGCGCGAAGGAGGGGAGACCGGATGTTGATGATGTCCCGATGGAAGGCTGAATTGACGACGATTGTATATTTCGATTAAAATGCAACTAATTTGGCGGATCAATCTGATCGATGACATTTGAATGCGCAATGAAATACCCGCTTGATACACGATACACGTTGTCTTTTTTTTCCCCTTGTTGGAAGGAGCTCACCGAACATTGTCCTCGGTGATTACATAATACACACAAGGTATCTTGTAGCTTCACGAGCCTCGTCCTCCCTGACCTCGCTCATGTTCGCGCGTCATCGACGAACGTGTGAGCTATTTTGCATCCCACGAGCTCTCTCAAATAAACACTGTTCCTTTCGAAACCTCGAATGACGTACGACCTAACATACATCCAATTTCCCACACACCTTATCACACGAAATCGAGTCCCCATCGAGCTCCAAACAGGTCCCACCATGCTCCAACCGCCACCCCAGCGCCCTATCCAGACATAGAGACAGAAAAGAAGCAGAAGGGAAGAAAAAAAAGAGATGTGGCCGCAACGAACCACGGGCGACGCCCACCCCGACACCCTCAAACTCGCCGAAGACGTCGCCGACATGGGAATATCCGGCTCGGGCCCCGAACCGCCGCGGGGCAGACCAACCCTCCAGAGAAACCAACAGCCCGCCCCGCCACCAGCTCCAAACACCTCGCAACTCATCCTACAACCGCTGCAACACCAACCACAACAGCAGCAGCAGCAGCAAAACATGACGGTCCAACAAGCGACGGACTCCCTCTCGCTCATGCAACTCCGCCGCATCGTCGTCGACATCCGACAAGCCGACCCCGTCGCCTACGACTTCACCTACGCCGATACCGCGCCCCACGGCGAGGAGATCGACGAGTGGTTCGTGTACATGGTGTGGCAGTGGATACGCCTCAACGGTATACAAAAGACCTTCGAGTGGCAGTGGCAGGAGGAGTTTGGCGCCTCGTGGGATGACGTGGATGAGGCTCAGAGGAGGAGGTTCGTCGCCGAGGCCGTGATCGGGTTGGGCGTTGCCGAAGACGTGTCGGAGAGGTTGCCGCATATTAGCAAGATTGCATATGTGGTGTTGGGAAGGTGGGGGGATACGGCCGTTTCGAGGGTGGGCGATGAGAAGAAGAGGTGTGTGGCGAGCGAGTCGCAGTTGGGTGCTATCACGGAGGGAGTGAAGTTGGTTGGGGAACTGGGAGGTTTTGAGGGCGTTTGGAAAGCGTTGAGGAAACGTTTCGAGCTGTTTTGGTGAGTATTCCTTTTTTTTTTTTTTTTTTTTTTTTTTTTTTTTCATTCTGCTGTGTGGACTTGGGAATTGCTAATGGTTTATTTTCCTCTTTTTCTCTAGGGATGACACTCAGACTCTGGGACAGACTGAGCTGCAGATGGCCCAAGAGGAGTTGTCGAACCTGATGACGATTCTTTATATTGGTATCCAGTCAGCACTCAATGACCCTGATAAGTTGGCTGATGCTAGGGAGAGGCTTGTCAGGCTGAATCCCAGTCTCCCTAACTTCATGCTGCTTGCCACATCCAAGCTTCGTTGGGATGACGGAGCTTACCTGCCCCAATCTCAGGTTAGTTTTTCTATTAACATGTCACCTATGTGCTGTGTTAGTGGATTTCAGCCTAACAGGTTCCTATAGATGTTCTTACTTCTCTGGAAGTCTATTCTGCTTGTCTTTGGTGGCACCAAAGAACTCATCACAGCAAAGAAAGAAACCCGCGAAACACCTGAAGACGGAAAGGAGAAAAATATCATCACCGCCTCACCCCTGGACTACCATGCGTTCCGACAGGAAATCACATCCAAATACCCCGCCTACATCCCCCCTCCCTCACTGATACCCCTCGAAGCTGACAATACCTCCTTACTCCCCCCCTTGCCCAACCAGCCCTCCAAGAGTGGTGTCAATGGCGGCATCCTCCAGCACCCATCGAGTTCGCAGAGTAGCGGCGCCTCGATTCTCCATCAGCCCGTCCACATTGCAACTCCGGTCCCTTCCCCTCCACCATCTCCCGCGGCCGGTGGTAAAGGCGGAAAGAAGCAAAATTACCAGACGAACCAAAACTTCCCGTTCCTGTACCCGCCCCTCGACGCCACGAGTAACACTGCTGGCGGAAAGGGCCAGGCGGGAATGCAGAGCCAGCTCATCAACAGAAAATGGGAAGGCAGCGATATCCCGGCGTCTATCCTCGAGGCCGGCGACATCTTCTCCAAGAGGGTGAGGATGACGAGGGCGGCGCGACAGCTTTGGGAAGAGCGTGAAGCCTTTATCAAGTTCGACCGTGGCTGGGACCCCGCTGTGAGTGCTGATGATGATGACGATGAGGACGATATCGAGGAGCTCTTCCTTGATGAGTTGAACGAGGAGGAGAGGAAGGAGATTGAGGCCATGAGGAAGGGTTACAAGGAGAAGCCTCCGCCGCCGACGAATCTAGTGGACTTTGGTCCCGGGGGAGAGGGGGTGAGTGAAGAGGTGAAGCGGCAGCTCAGGGCTGTGGAGGATTTATACGTGAGTATCGAACGAATGAGTTTCCCGGATCTTTGAAAGTCCGTCCACGAAAGCTAACTAAGATCCTCCTTTGTTTAGCGGGAGAGTCTCCCCCACCTCCAGTCTCTCGTAATCGTCCTTTTGAAGGCCATCCTTGTAAATATCACTGCCGTCATAGTACAGGGCCCGGCGAGTCAGCAGCACCCGGGCATGGCGAACCGGCCTCCTCCCAACGGAAACGTCAACGGCGGACCCGCTACCGGCCGACCCGGTGGTGAAGGGACCAATGGAGGATCGAACGGGTCGCCGGTGCCGGAGCCGCCGTCCATTGAAGAGATTGATGGCGCGAGGACGCGAGAGATTACGGCTAAGGCCGCGACTGGAATTCTACTCTTGATTCTGAAGTGGTTTAAAGTTTCACGTAGGTTTTTTTTTTTTTTTTTTATTATTATTATTATTGGTTTGGGACGATTTTATCGGTTTTATGAGACCTGAACTAACGGGCATCTTTTTCTCTCGCAGATATACTCAAGTTCGAATATCTTGGACAGCTGTTGCTGGATTCTAATTATATCCCTCTTGTGCTGAAGCTCTTTGCGCACCAAGATATTCAGCAGGTGGTGGACAGCAAGACGGATCGTACTGAGCACAGGTGAGAGACAGAGCCCATATGCTTGGATTTCCAAAGCTCCCTACTGACATTATGCAGCTTCTTCCGATTCTGCAATCTACGATCCAGGATGAAGGAGCAGCCCGGGTCGCCGCCCCCAGCTCCCGAGCCAGCCCTAGCCCCAGCCTTGGAGGAGGAAGACGAGAGCGAAGACGAGGCCTGCCCTCCTCCCATCAAGCGACGTCGATCGCCACCTCCCCCGGCTCCCCAGGTCTCACCGGCCCTCCAACCGGCCCCGACGGACCTCAACGGCCCCGGCCGACCCCCCGAGGTCGACGAGCTCGGCTACCCCATCAACGACCTCCCTAAAGAACCCATCACGGACTTCTCCTGGCGCAACTTCTTCACCCACATCAACTACCTCCGCATCATGCAAAAAGTCTGCAAATCCAAAGCCCACCGCAACCTCCTCCTCGTCTCCTACAAATCCTCCAACATCCTCCGCAAATCCCTGAAAGTCCCGCAACCCGACCTGCGCCTGTACACCCTCAAGCTCTTCAAGAACCAGGTCCCCTACTGCGGCCGCAAGTGGCGCCAGAGCAACATGCGCGTCATCACCGCCGTGTACCTGCACTGCCGCCCGGAGCTGCGCGACGAGTGGCTCGCGGGCAGCGACGTCGACGCCGAGGTCGATTCGGCCGTTCCCTTGGAGCAGGCGCTCAGGGGACTGACGCACTGGTTTAATGTGAGGAGGTATCCTGAGGGGGTGGCGCCCGGGGTGAGGAGCGCTGTTAGGGAGGAGCAGGATTTTTTCGCGAGAGAGGTGGAGAGGTTGGAGGTCGGGTGGGGGGAGGAGGAGGGGGGTGAGTGGGAGCATGAGGGGATGGTGATGGGGTACTAAGATTGTGTGAGATTGGGTGGTTTGTTTACTTTTTTTCTTCTTTTTTTTTTTTTTTTCTCCCCCCTTCCATTTGGGATCTCGAAATGGGAACTGAGGGGGTTTGTATGTTGTCATGTTGGTCTGTTTTGAAGGAATGATGAGATGAATGCCATGTTCATTTTTGAGAACCGCGGCGGTTCTAGTTCATTGATATCATTAAATACTAAAAAGTACAATCCCCAATCCCACCAAGCCAAGTGCTAATGCTTTGAACCGTTTGTTTACCCTTGCCTAGCCAGTAACCCTAAACTCCAAATGAAAAAAAGAAAGGAAACGCCGCTTCTATGCTAAACTCTTAAACTTATGCATAAAACCATGAATGATCCCTCATGCCAATTTCCTGTTTCTCCTTCTCTTTCCTCTTGTCTCATGTCCTAATCTTACCAACGCCGAACCTCACTCCTTTCCACTCCGTCAAGCAACATCATACACCCCATCATCATACGTATACCCCTCCGGCCTCCTCCTCCCACCATTCCCGGTCCCATTCGCATTCCCACCGCCCAAACGCACCTGGCTCGCCGTCCTATCATCCCGCGACACAGGCCTCAAATTGTCGTAGGGCCCCGCGGGGAAATACGCATCGTTTCCTTGCTGGGAAGAAGAGTGGCGGATCTCGCCCAGGGCCGAAGAAGAAGACGTGTGTCCTATGGTGCTGGAGGGTGGATGGTACGTCCCCGCCGCGAGGTGGGGGAGGGAGGGACGATAGCGGGGGTCGGGGTAGATGGGTGAGGTTGGTGAGGTGGGGCTGTACGGCGATGCCGTGTCCGAGTAGTAAGGGCGTTGATGTTGTTGGGGACTCGCGAAAGGCGGTGGTCGGGTGTTCTCTATCGGCGAGACGTCGTCGTAGGGATGTGTTGTTTCGTAAGGAGAGTTGTTGTTATTATTGAGAGGGATTCGCTGGTATCCCTGCGGCCTACCACCCCCTAGCCCAAGATCCGACTCGGCACCAAAATATTGCTGCTGCTGGTGCTGAGGCGGGACTTGCACCATTGTGTATCCATTAGGTGACGGCGTGGGCGTAGGCCGGCGTCCTCCCCCTTCTCCAACGCGGATATAATCGTCCGGTCGACCATGGTGATCGTTCTCGAGAAAGCTCTGGCGGTCGGATAACTGGTCCGGCTGCGTGTGCTGCGGGAGGACGTTTTCGGAGTCGACGAGGGGTTGGGGTTTCGGCTTGCGCGAGAAGAGGCTGCGGAACCACGATTTCTTGGCCGGGGGTTGGGCGAAGGGGTCGTCGGGGTTGGAGGAGTCTGCACCGGGACCCGGGTAGGTGGTGTCGTTGAGGGGTTCTTGGGAGAGGGTTTGGCGTTTTTCGCGGTGGTGGTTGCGGCCGAGGTAGAGGGAGGCAACAATGGAGCCGATGAAGAGGAAGCTTGTTTTTCATCTTTCGTTAGATCGCTTTGAAGGAGAGAAAGTTCCAAGAAAGTTGGGACTTACATCATGACGATGGAGATGGCAAGACAGGCCGTTAGCAACCTACACGCATCCCCAAACTTAGGCAACGCCATGAATCCCCCATGCCCCCCATCATTAACCTTATCCCCCGACTTCCCCTTTCCAAACGCCGTATCGACCTCACCAGAGCAAGAACCCGCACCCCCACGATTGGCCGTGGCGACATAGATGTAAGTAGCTCCGAAGGCGGTATCGAAGATCATGTTGATAAAGGAGGGCAGCGTGCGGCCGGCGAAGAAGCGCGTAACTACCATGCAGATGATGGCGTAGGCGATGGTGATACCGGCGATGCCCTCGACGGCGCGGACGAAGGTGGGCGTGGAGAGGCCATGGTTCGCGAGGGCGCCGAGGGTGTAAGAGTAGATGGCGAGGATGATGGTGGCACCGGCGAATTGGAGGGACCGGAGGACTGTGGAGAGGGTTTTGAGGGCGGGACCGCGAGACATTGTGGGCGAGCCTTTGGAAAGAGAGAGAGAAGAGGAGGGCGGAAGAAGAGAGAGAGAGGCAAGTGCTGAGAGCCCGCCTTTGAAAAGGTTCAAGGCTTGGAGAGGGGTTGTGTTTGTTGTTGCCCTCTTTTTTGTTTGATATGCGGGTGGGAGGCCGGGTTGGGGGCGGCCGTTTACTTCATTGGATCAGGCGTCGTTTCCGGGGTCGCGAATGCGAGGACGACGTACGACGTGCGTGGTTGGCGGGGCGGCGCCAAGAGGTGTAACTCGAGGAGTGCGAAGTGCGGAAGGGCGTCTGAAGAAATTAAATAAGATGATGGCTGGGCGTAAATTCGGTGGTATCTTGTCCTTGCGAGGAAGCGATTGGGGAGTGTATGAAAAGAGAGAGAGATAGACAGACAGAGCGAGAGAGAGAGAGAGAAATCTCCCATCCTCTACAAAGGAGGCAAGCACGATCCGAGGCAAGAAAGCATCTTGGCAACAATGGAATTTGTTCGTATTGGGAAAGAACAATGGGAATGGCGAGGCAAGTTTGAATGAGCTGACGAAGCGAGCTGTGGCTGAATGTGGCAATGACATCACCATCCTCGGATGTTCCCATGTTTCGATGAGACAATTGGAGCTTGTCAGAAAATGTTCCTGCGTTGATTGGGCGGGAAAGGGTCGGTACTTGTACAGAGTACTTAGCCATTCCGCATTGAATTAAATGCAAGGTGGCGGAGCGAACCGCGCAATCAATATTGATTTGCAGTGGGGAGAGACTAACAGAGACCCTGTCACAAGTGCCACCAGAAGCTAGCGCTTGGTGGCAGTCCTCTGAGCTATGTAGTAAACTAGTTTAGAACCTAAACCTCGAAAGTACTCAGTATTGAGGACACAATCCGGACCAGACCTCTGAAGCAGGCCGTCCATTGTCACTTCAAAGTTAATGCTATTATTAGCACAAACCACTGGGCCCTCCGAAAGTTTCATTGATTGATTTCATTAGTTAGGTTCGAGTTGTACGTGTCAGTGGACTGACAGACGCCATTCAGTCTGGCATTTCATTGAGGTTGCGCTTGAAGGTGGCCAGGCGTGAAGGGGAGGAATCGACCGGGACCACTCAATCCCTTCTCTATCAAACGAATCTCTTTCAAACCTCATGCTGTGTTTCCGCACCCCGGGCCAGCTCAAAGGATAAACAGAGGGGGGGGTTAACTCCAAACTCTCAAATTCAGCTGATATCAATAGCTTCGTCCCCGAATGGGGGCAGGGCTGGCCCTCTCTCAATCAATTCCTCTGTGACAATACAAAACCCGCCCGCATGAGCCCTCTTCCCGCTCCACCATAAATGGCGGGATTGCTTGATTGATCCCTGATGGAGCAAGCAGTGGACAGAGTGACATTGCAGCCCGCCCGTCCGCTGCTACGCCCGCTGATCGACAACCGGGTTTCGGCCGCAATCTATTTATAGTTAGTGTCTTTTAATGAGGACCCTTACCATCGTGCCGGGTTTGACTGCGACTTTTGATTCTTCCAGAAATATAGAGTCATTGTTCCAGAACTAGAGTTCGCGAAACATGTAACCTTTGTCTTTGTTAACACATATTCCGTATATCTAGATCTACATTCATCAAAACCCCACGATTTACCCCACGATTTACCCCATCCCAGAGTTGGGTTATCAGGATTCTCCGAGCATCAACGCCAGTTCACGTAAACTGGAAGTGGGCTTAACCCAATTCCTTGTCTTCGGTGCCAGGGGACTGTCCACTGTGGCGGGATCCGCCACTTTGTTGCTGTCCTCGCGCCCGGTGCTGTCCCTAACCCATGTAATCGTCGTTAAAAGTAAGAAGTATTGTAGCGGTTAGGGTAACTAGGCGCTCTTATCGACTCAAGGGGGCGGCCATGGCTGACTCTTCATCGTAGCCAGTAGAGCCACAAAAGTATGGCCCCAAACGCGTTCCGACCTGGTAGAGTCCACAAAGCCGATGTAATGATTTTGCTTCAGCCTTGAATAGATGCTTATTTCACCAATAGCATCGCCGAAACGGTTCCCAATGTCTACCAAGGGAGCGACGTAGAGATGGATGACCGGCCCTGCGAAGGCAGGCGTGACATTAGAAGCGTTGGACGTCGAGTTCCATGGTTGGATCGCCAATGTCTCTACTGCCTTTTTGATCTCGGCTGGCTCTCTCGGCTTCGGGGTGCCGGTTTTAAACTGCAGCGCAAAGGTTAGTCTCTTGGCTCTTTTTGTCAGTTGTTTAGCGGAGCGTTAGTTGACCTGTAGCACACAAAGAACCTTGTTTCTCGTGGTCTTTTCCTTTAGGAAGAACAGAAGATCCGGCCCTTCCATTTTGTCCGGGAAGAGAAAAGTCGATCTCTTAGAATCTGCTAGCCGAAGCCATGTGTCTATATTGCTATGCTCATCGTCAAGTGATTTCGCGACTGGTGTGCAGAGGTAGAATTCGGCAAGCCTAAAGGAGTCTGCCACGCTAGCACTCCGCCCTTTCGCGCGCTCAAGGCAGTCGAGGAAGGCCTGGCGGCGAGATGCGGCAATCTCCTGTGACGATGGACGCAAAAAGTGATTAAGCTTCTGTCTCTAGGCAGTGAGAATGGCGGCTTTAGCAACGAGGAACAAGGCAATACTTGCGTTGACGAAGTAATACTCGGCCTGCTTGCCGATAGACCCATGGTCCTTGTCGTCGACCTGAACCAGAGAGAAGTCGTCTTCCATCAATTTGTCGTACTCCTGTAGTTTCGACTCGCGAAGATATTCCATCACGGCATCCACAACCAGAGGCTCTCTCAAGCGCGCCCGGACAGCGTCGGAACCGGTCTTTTCTTGGTCAACAAGCGCGAATCCCTCCGATATATACCTAGCAGTATCACCTTCCGGTAATATCCAGGATCTGCCATTGACATCGGCCCTGATTGCGGTCTCAAACAGCTTTTTGGCCCATTCCTTGTCCCTGATGCGGCAAATTTGCTTTTTCAGCTCGGCTTTGATAGTGTCGGCGACTCGGTCTCTCGCAGCGCGTACGGCGTCTGGCCTCTCCGAGAGTCTGCCGTTGCAATTCAGCGAGAGTTTCAAAAGCTCCTCGGCGAAAAGGGTTGTCCAGCGGATCCGCCCGAGGAAAATCGCGTGCTCGGAAGAGATAAGGGCGTTGTTGGGGGTTTTGAAAATATCCCACTGCAAAAGAGTATTCTCGATAGCCTGCCAATCTTGCAGCCCAGGCCATAATTCAGAGAAGTTGATGTCGAATCGTAGACGTCTTCCACCCCTTGCGATCAACGGCGGACGGGACTCGAAGGGAATTGTTCCGTGGGACGCCGATGCCCTCGTGGCACGTACTTGCTCGAATTCGTACGACTCTTTCAGAATGTCTTTGATGTGGAGGCGAAGATGGGACCAGAAGGTGCTCTTATTCTTCACATAGGAATTTTCGCATGTGACAACGTGCGGTTGAGGGCGAATCGCGCTTGCAAAGGCCTTCGACTTGGCGAGTTCTAGCGACGTCCCCGAGAGATATGCCGCCACGGAAAGCGGGAGATTTTTAAATAAGCTATGGCATATCGCTCGTGCGTTATCGTCGTCCAAAGCCACCTGTGCTTCGTCGATACAGACGGAAATAGGCCCGAAGGCGGTCTCGAAATCGTTGCGTGGCGGACGAGGTGGTCTCATGATTCTCAAGAACCGATAAGCTGCATCAAACGGGTCGTTGCCGTGCCAGCAACAGAGTTGGATCTGCATCCACTGGATTTCAGCCACTCTCGCCATTGAAAAAGGTGACTTGAACAGGGTGTGTGAATCTCCCACGTTGTGTGTCCCCAGCAGGCTCTGCATTTGTCGAGAGCCACCAATATCTATCGGGAATTTTGCCACTTGGTGAATATTCAGAAGACTCCGCCGAGCCTCCAGAAGTGGCGCGACAAAAGTTGACAAGGAGTCTGCCAACCATTGAAGTTCGCGACCGTCGTTGACTAAGGCTTTGAGATCTTCGTACGCAGTGAAAGTATCCCGAGACGCATTGCCCCGGTCAGGTCTGAGGACTGGATCTGTTGCCTCATCTATGGGTGGAAGATTAGGGGCTAGAAAGTAGTAGCCAGGGGCTTCCTTGAACTTTTCAAGCATGAAACGAGTCTTTCCAGTCCCTGCAGTGTCGAACACAAGATTGAATGGATATCGACCTGGGCGATAATCCGATATTATGATAGTGGCAGACCCCGGAGAAGGGGCGGCAGTTTTTGGTATCCTTCTCAGAGAACTGCGATGAAGAAGCTTCATGAAATTTCTTTCGTGCAATCGAAGATACTGATGGAGGCCGTGTCGCAAAGGGAAGGAGGTCAGCCGTTCCTGGTTGAACAGATCATGGTTCCAAGAAGTGCTCCATGCAACGTCTATTGATATATATGTGAGTGCGCAACCCCTCGTGATATATTTGAAGGTAGCATACCGAGTTTGTTCTGCGCCTTTTTGAGCTCCTCTTCGAGCATGCATAGGCGGTGATAGATATCTCGAATGACTATGTGCTGGGGCTTTGTGGAGCCTTGCAATAGCCCACAAAGATGCAGCTTGAGCCCCTCCAGGCTTGTTATTTTCACCGGAAACGTTTCCAGATACCCTTCAAAAGAGAACTGGTCACTCGATTGTTCTCCGGCGAGGGGCGTGGTGCGCATCATCCGATACACGAAGATCAGGGCATCGGGGCTCGTGCCGTATAATTCCCAGATATACCAGGAAAGGGGTGCCGCCGGCCCGTCTAGGTTAGCCGTAGAAGCCTCAGTTAGCCAGGATGCCAAGTAGAACCACCGGTCTTCCAACAAGTAGGGCAAAATCCCATCATCCGAGACTCCTCGAGGAAGCCAGTACTTCTTGCGTTCTAGAGGGCCGACGTGATTAGCATCTTGATAGAGCACGGATGAGAATGATATCACGGCTGATATCCACCTTGCCAATTCTCCAGTCTTTCTCGATACTTGGCTTCGAAGTAGCGCAAGCATCTCAGATCCCATTCTTC